TGGGATAGCCAGCCTGTTTGCCACGATGATCGCGAGGAGAGAACGCGTTTGAACTGTTCTGTGCGGTTTCAGCGGTTATTGTTGTTACATCGATGGCTGGATTACATGGTTCATGGGGAGAGAGCCGCGGGGTGGGTGTGATTGTGTACCGCGCCATTGTGAAGATGGGATTATGATGTCCTTTGTGTCTGACGGTCTATACATATATAACCAAGTTGCTTTATGCCTGGAATTGATAGAAATTTTAATTACGCTTTCGAAGAATTTTAGAAATTGTTATAGAATAGGTACATTTTTTATAGTTAATCGTCATTTTCTGCTCTCCATTTGGTAGTTAAACGAAGAAGTTCGTGTTCTTAAATTTTTAGACGAAACACCTTTATATACCTGGTGTCGAAAAGAATTTCGGACTAAACTTCAAGAGCAGGTAGTATTCGACGAATTAATTTTTCGACCATTGGGACTTTTTTATTTCCTTCGATGAACGCTGCGTGCTCCTGGAGTTGGTCCTAACTTTTTCGAATACCCTGTATATTCTTAACCCTTCGATAGTGTTGAGGGGTTATATTAAATAAATGACTCGTGCGGAGTAAGGTGGGTAAATAATTATATTTTAGACGATGTTCACAAGACAGGCGCGCAATTAGAACTGCCTGCAAAACGTGGTGACAGTGTGCACATTTATACCTGGGGTGTTCGCAGGCATCCCCAAACCATATTTAACGAACGTGTCATAAACGTACCGTTAAGAAGAACTCGCTTCTTCCAATATTTTAGGATGTCGAGTTTTCCACGCAGTACACATAAAACATTTTGCTTCAACAGATAGTTTAACCCTTTCGCGACGGCGGAACTAGGCATCGGTACGCCACTAACGAACGGGTCGTCGTGCCATTAGTGCACACCGTACACATTAAGAGTGTCTCGCGTTTTTTCAAATCTTGGAGGATTTCGTTGGAACAGCAGAGGACTTAAGGGTGTATCGGATAAAGGGAATGTCGTTGAGGCCTTATTCTGTATTTCAAAATAAATCTTCACTTTGAGTTGAAGCGACGCGCTTAGTGGATGCCGGATATAACCGGCGCTAGCCAGTGTGCAGCATTTAGTGGATGCCGGATATAACCGGCGCTAGTCGCGAAAGGGTTAACCCAAGTGAGAGACTTTCAGGAGGCGAGATATTCACAACTTGGACGTAGGGTTACGAACACTGTCCTTTAAAAATAATCACACGTACGTGTAAAATACGAATTTTATTCACTCTGATTTATAATTATACGAAACTGCGAAAGGGTTAAAATTGGTCCAACTTCAGCCTTCTTTCTCGCGCATGAAATTATCGCCAAAGTATAGCAGTCGGGTACAGACAGTTCAATCCTTTTTCTTCAAGTATGTATTAGACAACACCGTTACACTTCCATTTATGTTACCAGTAACAGAAAGAAAAGGGAAGAAAGAGAACACGAGCTCGTTCCACTTAACCAAGCAGATTCTACGCGAAGGAATTATTTACAAATTTTCCTGCCACCTGAAACAACGGTGGTTAACACGACTGGGACGAGTAGCATGGAACAGCGTCGAAACGGAAGGTCCGCGAGCGTCGGGTCGCTAATTGCCGTAATGAAGATTATTCGCGGCGCGGTTCGTGTAAAAGGGCGCGCCGTTGTCTCGATGAAATGGCCGAGTGACCGTGCAGAAATTCACCAGGATGCTCGGCGATCTTTTGACATACAAATATTTCCCCCCCTCCAATGGCGGAATTATTACGGGACCCCCGTTTCGGGACACGTGATATTTACGCTACTAGGGAAATACTTCGTTGAAGACTGCTACTTCGGTGTGTGATATTTTCAACGTTGATTTCTTCTTCAAGCGGAATTACATCGAGAGGTTCGCGGTCTTAGAACGAAAGCTCTTTCTTTTCCGGGGGACAATAATTGACACGTTTGCTGTCGATGTCGCATAAGTCTGAATAGTAAAAATTTTCATCGACCCTTTTAACTTTTAACGTGACTAGGTCACTAAATTATCGAAAATATATTTTTTTGCGATATTATATTTTTTCCAATTACTTTTATTGCCCAGAAGTATATAACTTCATCACTTTCGTTCACAATCTTCTACGAACGCAGACATAAGTCCATGGTGCTCAAAGGGTTAAAGAACAAAACAAGAAACTTCTCAAGCACCTCTGTGCACGTAATCTCCTCACGTCTATCGACGACTTCGAAGATAGAAAAAAACAGGCTGTCTGTTGAGCGTCGAACAAAGGAGTGTTCCGACTGAATCGGTTCGCGATATATTTAGAAGCGGCGTGAAACTGAAAATTTGATGTCTATAGAGGAGACACTGTCGAGGCTTGGCTCGATTATGCGTAGCCGGTGCACGCGCTCAAGACCTTGTGACACTTAGGCAGAACCACGTCGGTCATAAGTCGCTCGCTATAATAAAGTACTGACGAGGTACCGGATCGCGGCAATCTCCATACGGTGCGTACGAACAAAAGGACTGTCGGAGACGACCAATAAGTGGTCCGAGGCCAAAGAGGAACGCCGAGTGTTCTTATTATTGGACGCTTCGCGACAGAAATTCGCGGCCAGCCGAGTCTAATCGCTGATTACTATCGTTCCTCTTGAGTTAATTCGATTTTAATCGCGCTGTTTTTTCGTCACCTTCATGCGTGTCTTGAGATATTTATTATACCAAAAGTTGCCGGTTGCGATGGAAAGAGACCAACGAAGAGACCATCGATACTGATGAAACTCTGTTATATAGTAGCTCTAAAAAAAATATTGAACACGTATTTTCTTTTTATTGGCAGTGATCCAATTTGATAGGCTGAAAATTACCCTTAAAGATGGGGCAATAAACTTTCTTTTATTTTCATTTTTCAAGTTTGTGAAATATATGGCTTATTTCAAGGTTGATAATATCAGTATGAGTAATTTTTCCATGATTTGATAATTATATTCGGAGATTAGTGTGAATTGTTCGGTTTATACTCGATTTCTTCCAAGTATTTGAAATTTCGTGAATGAAATCGCTCTACACAATGAAACAGAGGGGCACGCCGATTATGTAACCCAGAGTGCAGACTAAATACGTTCATTGTATTCAGAACATTATCCGGTCGTAAATCTTCGCGCGTACGATATAAAGATAACGTAACATTAGGGGGAACGTGGGGACCCGATGGTGTGATCAAGGAATTCCGAAAGTCGCGTATGTGTTAGCTCCGGAATATTCAGATTTGTGTTAATCCCAGCTTCGTCATATTATTCAATTTATATTTCTATCAACCAGAAAAAATATTCAACCCTTTAACACTAGACTTACCGACCGAGTCAGAATGACCAATTACCATCTTTCGAAAAAAAACGCAAATGTTCAATACTGGTAAGTATCGTCGTTTTACGCTTCTGCTTGTATCTATATGAGTCGAATTTTCCAATCACGGTGTACTTACCCAAAAATTCACTTTTGGAAAGCCTCGCCGATGGGTCATTTTGACTCGGCTGGTAATTCTACGTAGTGTTAACTCTCATCTACCAAAGAAACACTTACACGATGGAGAAATGTAAAATATAATTTCGTATTTACAATTTTGCATTATATTATGAATGTTCGTCGAAAGAAAATTAATTGTGACCAACTCAGCCACTCGCGATTAATACAGAGTTCAATACCACCGCGAAGGGTTGAAATCTGAAAGAGAAACCTACTTACGAAACGGCCATTCCACCTGAAACTACATTTCACCAGCGCACGTACCTTTTACACAATTAAAATTCCAATTGCAATTTCTTCGCGTGATAATTTCGTTAGAAGAACCCCATTAAGAGGGGTTCGATCGGTAGAAAAGCATCGAAGGGAAGCTTACAGCCGGACTAGATTACAGCGACTCGATTGTCGGGGTCAAGAGTCATCGAAGCCGTACAGGACAACGATCGTGCCTTTCCACATCCTCCCCTCTCTTTCTCTCTCTCTCTGTGTCCACGATCCTTTTTCCCTTGGCCGGCCGGTGGATGAGATATTGAAGAACGGTAGCCATTTTGTATCATTGGCCAGGGAGTACGAGCGACGACAGGACAATAGTCGCCACTTGTCCGCCGCTTTTTTGCCAGAAACCAAATTCCAGCCCGCCTGTGGCGAGCCGTTGTTCGCCTCTGTACCGAACGGATGAAAAGCACCGGTCGATCTGATCTACCTTCGACCGTGGATCATACGTAACAGGCCAAATCATACCGCGCGTGTACACCAAACCCAATGGACAACCGGAACGTTATAAAACTTGTTTGCTGTGTCTCGTTGTTGTACCCTTTCGTGGCTATTCTTTGCGAGTGCCTTGTTAGCTTTGCTTCCCCCCACAGGAAAATTGATATCGATGAATTTAATAGCGTAATCGTCTTAGTTTTTTTCTTTTTGAATAATACGAGAATATCCTGAGGTAAAATTGTCGGGTCGGTTAAGTTTGGGGAGGTTGGATATTTTAACCCTTTGTGTTGTTTGATCTATGGCAGTTTGAGATGTACTTGTCTATTTTATTCTGGGAAGCTTCTGACAGAAGTTAGGTATTGCGTTGTTAGAGGATCTTGAGAAACTGGTTTTCTAGTTCTCGCCATTTTTTAACGGTTTCAATTCTTACGAAATTATCAATTATCACTTCTCTATAATAAATGACAATATTTGGGAAGAGCTTATAATATTTATTACTAAGAAAATGAGCCAACTCTGGGAGACGTTTATGTCAACTATGACATCCGAAAAATCAACAAAATTCAACGCAAGACACACAAACTCGTTCGCTATTATCTCTATGTAATGTATACGAAATGCAAAAATTGTGAGTGCCTAAAAATTTAGATATGAAAAATGCAAGAAAAAATGATACGAGTGTGTTTAGGGTTGTTTAATCTCCAATTGATCAGTTTAATCAGATAAGAAATCGATTCTGAGACCACGCGTTCAAAGTACTAATTTCAGCCGTTTTCTCTTGATTACAGGTGTCAGCAGGTCAGCATATGCAGCTCACAGGCGACCTGAAGCCAGGCGTGTCCGTGGCTGCCCAGCAGGGCATGTACTTCAATCAGCAGCAGAATCAAAATCAGACCGGGCCCACCGGCCAGACGGACACGTACTGCTCCGTGTCACAGTCTCAGACGATCAATTTCACGCAGCAGAGCCTGAGACAGAGGGCTGCGGCCGCCGCGGCGGGCGGCGTCCCTCAACCTACCGGCGCCGCTGGTGCACGCAACCACCCTCAGCAAGTGCCGCCGAATCAGGTGGATCAACATCAGCACGCGAAGATCCTTCAGCAACAGCAACTGATGCGCGCCCAGCAGGTAAGTGTGTTATGGTACCGAGTGGCGCGTGTAAAATTGGCTCTAAACGCAAAATACGGTTATACGGTTTTAATGATATCATTTTGTAGTATCGCGGAAATGTTTGTTTCTTGTTACGTAGGTTTAAGAGGTTCAGGATGGGAGTTGTGAAGAAGAAAGTGGGTCCTTGAGAACGCACGAGGCTCTCTCGTGCGGTGAACATTTTTAATTGTGAGAGAAAGGAGGTGAATGAAAAGTTGTTTTCTTCCATGTAGAGTAGGTGTTAGATAGAGTCAGACTGTTGCAGATAGAGTCAATGTTGTAAATAGAGTCGGGGTGTTGTAAGAGTCGTCAGAGTGTTAGAGATGGAGTGTTGTAGATAGAAACAGTGTTGTAAGAGTCGTCAAAGTGTTGGACATAGTGTTGGGTATAGAATCAGTGTTGCAAATAGAGTCGAAGTGGTGTAAAAGTCGTCAGAGTGTTGGAAATAGAGTGTTGCAGATAGAATTAATGTTGTAAATAGAGTAGGAGTGTTGTAAGAGTCGTCAGAGTGTTGGAGATGCAGTATTACAGACAGAATCAGTGTTGTAAAAGTCGTCAGAGTGTTAGAGATGGAGTGTTGTAGATAGAAACAGTGTTGTTAGAGTCGTCAAAGTGTTGGGTATAGAATCAGTGTTGCAAATAGAGTCGAAGTGGTGTAAAAGTCGTCAGAGTGTTGGAAATAGAGTGTTGCAGATAGAATTAATGTTGTAAATAGAGTAGGAGTGTTGTAAGAGTCGTCAGAGTGTTGGAGATGCAGTATTACAGATAGAATCAGTGTTGTAAGAGTCGTCAGAGTGTTAGAGATGGAGTGTTGTAGATAGAAACAGTGTTGTTAGAGTTGTCAAAGTGTTGGGTATAGAGTCTGTGTTGCAAATAGAGTCGAAGTGGTGTAAGAGTCGTCAGAGTGTTGGAAATAGAGTGTTGCAGATAGAATTAATGTTGTAAATAGAGTAGGAGTGTTGTAAGAGTCGTCAGCGTGTTGGAAATAGAGTGTTGTAGATAGAGTCGGTGTTGTAAGAGTCGTCAGAGTGTTAGAGATGGAGTGTTGTAGATAGAAACAGTGTTGTTAGAGTCGTCAAAGTGTTGGGTATAGAGTCTGTGTTGAAAATAGAGTCGAAGTGGTGTAAGAGTTGTCAGAGTGTTGGAAATAGAGTGTTGCAGATAGAATTAATGTTGTAAATAGAGTAGGAGTGTTGTAAGAGACGTCAGCGTGTTGGAAATAGAGTGTTGTAGATAGAGTCGGTGTTGTAAATAGAGTAGGAGTGTTGTAAGAATCATCAGAATGTTGGAAATGGAGTCGGAGTGTTGTAAGTGTCGTTAGAGTGTTGGAGATAGTGTTGGGTATAGCGTCAGTGTTGTAGATAGAGTCGGAGTGTTGTTAGAATCATTAGAGTATTGGAGATGAAGTGTTACAGATAGAGTCATAGTGTTGTAGTGTTGCAGAGAGCCTTGTACGAGTAGTCCAACAGTTCCCAGAGTTATCTTAGAGTTGTAAGAGTTATTTCAAGTTATATTTGTTGCATTTATAGTTGTTAGAGCTGTATTTTGCGTTCGAAGCCGATCTTACGTGCGTCACACACTATAACAAGTATCATTCACTCGCTCGTTCACTCACTCTCGATCGGAAAATTTTTCCACGATGTCTTGTCGAATGATAACGTCGCGTTCTTTGGGCGTGAACGGGTTGGTTTATGGTTTAATTACCTAATGGCGGTGAACGATCCTTATCTATGGTAATACGAACGGTGTCTCGGTTGTAACGACCAGAGCAGAGGGGGCGACACACAAATCCAACGATGGGCTCGGTTTTATCTGTGTTCGATCGAGGAAATTTTCATTTCGACTCGCGGGAGATAATTGGTTTTCGTATCCATGATCCTTGGCAACGAACTAGCTTGTAAATTCCGAGGAATATCATTATGCTGTTCCCTTACGCTGTAAAGATTGTTATTGAAAGGATTATCTTGCCGAGGCTCCGGTGGAAGGGATAATTAAGAATTTATGAGATAAGAAATTCGAGGCGATTACCAGGGGCTTGGTGAATTTTACATTGTGTAATTACACATTTAATGGGCGCAATAAGGCTAATTAAGTATAATCCGGCGTACCCTTTTCCTGTTGTGCATCAGGGAAATTTATGTTTGGATCTATTTTAATCTAACCATGTTACAACGAAAGAAAACGCAGACTTGCAAATGTGTGTCGTGAAACTTGAAATTAAAATGAAACACTGGTACACCTATGAAAACCATCGCGAAGCACTGCTGTTAAAAAAAGCAAAAACACTACACGTCGAATCAAAATAAATTCCACATAGATCCTCGACAATCTCCGCCTACATCTGTTCGTGTACGATTCGTTTCGTTGCACAATACAAGTCAAACGTTCCCGAGATGCGTGTCGAATTGATCGGACCTCCTTTCCACTCCGTTGAGATCACGATTCTGCATTTCCGCAACCAGCGATACCAACCGTGTTCCGTAAACTTCTTCCAGACGTGACGACGATCGAAAGGGAATCGCGTCGCGACGGGCGCGCGCGTTATTCGAAACATTAAGTTCGTATCCGGCGGTGTGGCCGTGTGCAGCAACAGGTAAACGCGGCTCCTTTGCAGCTTCTCTGTTCCGTTTGAAAGAAGCGACAGAAATAAGAGAGACGTCTTGGCGGGCCGCGGAACAATGAATGGAAACTTTTTCTGTTACCGGGAAATCTGCGTTCGCGTGCACTTCCGGGAGAAAACGTAATGCCCCGGCCATTATCGCGACCAGACCAACGATCTCTTTGGCTTTCTTACGATGTTTACGGATGCGGTTTTCCGCGCTCGATGGAGTTCGATCGGGTGAAATTGTTGTGGCTTGTCATTCATTTCGCCTTCTTGCCGGTGCTATTTTGTTACGTTACGCAATAGATTTATTTCACCACTGCTTGGTGTCTGTGAAAGTGTGCAATTTTTCCCGATTTTCTTTGCGACCTCGCTGAGTAAACGATTGTTTTCGACGTGTCTTACAAATCTTTTTGTAAACGAAAATTAAATTCCTTCACTTATAGTTTAGATGTAACGTTACAATATTTTTTCGAATTTTGAACGTTTTGTAAACATTTTTTCTGAATGAAGGAATGTTCTCTGAAGTCGCGAGTAACGAGGGTACGTAGTGATACAGGCGATATAGCCTGATTCGATGTTTAGCGTTGTAAAAAACAAATTGAGATTTTTGGTGGAGAAAATATTTCGTTTTATACTGTTAAAAGATGTGTAGGACGTGAGGACAGATAAGACGTGAGGACAAATAATGACATAAGCGATATATAGCCTGTTTCGATGTTTAGCGTTGTAAAAAAAAATGGAGAAATTATTTCTTCTTACACTGTTAAAAGAGAGGAAAGAAGATGTGTAAATTAAGAATAACAAAAATATCGTGAGAATAAATAACGATATAGGCGATATAGCCTGTTTCGATGTTTAGCGTTGTAAAAAAAAATGGAGAAATTTTGTGAAGAAATTATTTCTTCTTATTCTGTTTAAAGAGAGGAAAGAAGATGTGTAAATTGAGAGTAACAAAAATGTCGTGAGGATAAATAACGATATAGGCGATATAGCCTGTTTCGATGTTTAGCGTTGTAAAAAAAAATGGAGAAATTTTGTGAAGAAATTATTTCTTCTTATTCTGTTTAAAGAGAGGAAAGAAGATGTGTAAATTGAGAGTGACAAAAATGTCGTGAGGATAAATAACGATATAGGCGATATAGCCTGATTCGATGTTTAGCGCTACAGCAGAAAAATTGCCAACTTCCATGGAGAAAAGGGATAGACCAATTCAAATAAATATTCGATACCTTCTGTCAATTTCAATATCCGCTGTTAATGCAAGGCTATCAATATTATCAATAAACGATCTCCATTGCAAATATACTCTGCTTTTCGCCTGCATAAATACGACAGTGTACACGTGTACACGCAGCTTGTCTCCCATTTATTAGCCGGTGAAATTGCAAGTGAAGGAACATCAGTTTTATATCTTTTTCACGTACGACTGTTATATTACGCTGTTTACTTTCAATTTTTCTCACCGCGTCAAGTTATTGCCCTTTGTGTCGCGGCAGAAAAGAAAACAGCGAGAATGAAAAAGGGTAGAAAAGTGATGGGCTCTGTATTGGGCCTGTTGTTCTAGTTACTCCGCGGTATAATGTAACGCCGGGAACTTTGCAATCAGACAACATTTGCATGCAGTCATTTACATCTTGTCCGGCACGGTGTTCTTCATCTTTTATGCATTTCCAATTTGCATCCGAAGAAACTGTGTCCACGAGCTCAATTACTGTCACTGAATCGTCGTCGTCTTCCACGAATTATCTCCTCGAACGCTCGTTCTCTACGCGCGGCGCTATTGAAACATCGCTGAAAGATTGAATGCAAAGTCGCGTGTCGGAGTCGTTGACATCGCGCGACGCTCGCCTAAATTTCTGTCGCGTGTCTCTTCGCCGGCTCTCTCGAGTAATTTCGCGAGATCGGAACAGTCGCATGTCGCTGTGTTTATTTTCACTCAAGTACATCAATTTTCCTCACCGTTAATCTCCTTTTTTTCGTTCTGTCATAATCATTTTTCTAATTTTCAACAAATCCAGCGATAATTTCTTCGTCGAAGTCACCGAATTTTGTAAACATACCGATGTAGAATTATGCAATTAGAATTATTATATCCGTTACCTAATTGAAAGTGGAGAGTGGTCCAGAAGATTTCTGTGCTATGAAATTCTTCGACGCACCGTCGAACTATAATCTTTTTCCGAAAATGAGACTACCTGTCGTTTACTCGAATTAACGCAAGAAAAAGGGAACATTTAAGGAAGAATCATTTCCCCATAAACGTTTCATTATATATTTCACAAAAAACCTCCAACTAATGCGATAAATCCTGTTGCAGAGCACACACATATTCACCCTTTTCTCTTATTTTCAATCGATCGCGGTGTTCGATCCGCTCTAACCATGATTTACCCACCGTAACTCAGACATTCAGAGGAAACATCTGATATACGACTTATTCCTACAAAGTATCGTTAACAGTATCTTTTCGTTCGAACCTATCATCAGGAATGAACGTAAATAACGAGAACTAGCGGCAGGATCCGAGCGATTTATCAAACTTCTCCCATAGAAAAAGCGAAATAAAAATGTGACGGAAAAATAAAGAGACTTATCTACATGACTCTCGAAATCTGTTCGACGAACAGAGTGAAATTATCGATACGTGTATTCGTATAGATCGGTAACATGCACTCGGTGGCGTGTAGTCACGTTTGCTCTCGCGGACACGCTGCACGATTTATTAACGAATGACTCAGTTGTTATAATACCAACCATTACTTTAACGACGTTAAGGTATCGAAGGCAGAGCTCGCTGATCGTGCTCCAGTTACTAATTGTAGGTTTCGCGCGATTGGTTAGTCATCCTTCGTCATCGTCGACCTTCCGTTTCGTTTCTTCCTTATCTCGCATCCACACAGCTGCCGTTCTTTTCCTTTTTCCTCTCTTCCTGATATTCGTAGTTGTAACGAAAACGATTTGACAAACTAAAAATGGAAGATTCCTTTTTTTATCGTTACCTCTCGAAGGGATTCCGTAGAATCGTTTTGAAGTCGCTTTGGAGATTGCGCGGTTCAAGTGGAGCACTTTCTTCGTAATCGAACTAATCACGAGGAGCAATCGCGGTTCTAATTACCGTGAGAACGCAAGTGGCGTTTCCTTGATCATCGAATGAGAAGGAACGAGGATTCGCCTGCTTGTCGACCGGAACGATCGATTTTGCTCTTGGTTGGAAGGGATCTGGTCAAGTTGACTTCACTTCACTTCACTTCCGGAGAAGTTCAGAATTTTTTTGTTTTATGATTGAGCTTGGACGAGGACGAGGATAATAGTGTGAATTTGTGTAGATTTTCGTTTGTGCAGAAGAATAATGCGGAAGGTATTTTCTGTTCTACTGTGATTCGTGGAGTTCCTTTTTCTGTGACTCTCTACGTCACAGAACAGTTTGAAAGTATAATTGAAAATGCTTGCATAGTAGTTTCTGACGTGATCTATCTTTTATATTTTTTTGTTTACTATTTTATCAGGATTTACGTTTGAAAAGTGACTTTTGAAATGTGTCTTGTAGTATTGCATTTTGAACGAATTTCTCCATGGTACAAGCTTCGACGGAGAAGTCAATTAGAGTTTGAACTCGATTAGAATTGAAACGTGTGAAATGCCTAACCCACGAAGAACCACTTTCTTCCTCGTTCTCCAGCACGAAGCGAGGTAAAAATACGGGCGAAATTGCTACATGCCGATTTTAAGGATGCTTCCTCCGTTCACCAGCAGCAGAGTCCTGAGAGTAACTAGGCGGTGCTGGTCTAATCGCAGGTTACTTGCGCGTTCGAGAGCAGAAAAATACTTCTGTTCCACAGTGAGAGCGCTTCGATTCTGCAACTTTGTATTTTTATAAGTGCACACCGTGGATAGAAAGTTTGGAACCAGCGTAGCCTTTAACACGTTCAATTCAGCGTAACCTATCAAGTGGATTGCACATTGCGTTTCTGAGAAATGTCATGCATCGACGGTGGGTTGCATAGTTTGCAATTCAGCTGTGGATACAAACGTGTCACTTGTAGGCACAATAAAATAACTTGAAGCACTAGAGAGTTGTATTTTGGCCATTTTTTCTTCTATCAAGAGTTCTTCATTTTTTTTTTTTTATAATGCTAAACATCGAATCAGGCTATATCGCCTATGTCATTATTTATCCTCCCGTCATTTCTGTTATTTTTAATTGACACATCTTCTTTCCTCTGTTTAAACAGAATAAGAAGAAATAATTTCTCCACAAAATTTCTCCATTTTTTTTTACAACGCTAAACATCGAATCAGACTATATCGCCTACATCGTTATTTATCCTCACGACATTTTTGTTATTCTCAATTTACACATCTTCTTTCCTCTCCTTAAACAGAATAAGAAGAAATAATTTCTCCACAAAATTTCTCAATTTTTCTACTATAGTGCAAAACATCGAATCAGGCTATAGCGCCTATATCATTACAAATCTTCACATCATTTCTGTTATTCTTAATATACGCATCTTTTTTCCCCTCTTTTAACCGTATAAAGAGAAGGACTTTCTCCACAAAAATTCTCAATTTTTCTACTATAGCACAAAACATCGAATCAGCCTATAGCGCCTGTATCATTATGTATCCTCGCGTAATTTCTGTTATCCTTAATTTACACATCTTCTTTCCCCTCTTTTAATCCTAGTTATAAGAAGAAAGGTTTTCTCCACACAAGCTATACACTTTTTTGCCACAAGGCAAAACATCGTATCAGGCTATACATCTCCTGTATCATCCCATATCGTCACGCCGCTTCGGTTATTCTTACTTTATACGTTTTGTCGAGCTTGAACAATAAATTGTGCGTGACAAACAATCTTTATCCCATTCACCTCATCGCTATGAGTCACTCTGTGCGTCGAAAGAAATAGAAGAAAAAAGAAAAAACAAGGATGAAAGGAGGTAGAAAGGCGAGGAGAAAATACGAGTGAGAAGCGGGAGAGTGAAGGTGTGTAACGAGGAAAACGTGCGGCCAGTGTCTCTGGTTGCCTTTCTGTCTTCATTGTCGTCGTTCGTGGGCTTTCGTCGACAGCGTAACACCAGGAAGTGGAAACGCAATCCACAGAGGGCTTGTGCAACGACACCGATGCTCGGAACTTCCGTGCTCGCTGGCTCGACGACAATGCGACTCGTAACGAGTCATCGATGCGTGCCGTGAGCAGAGTTGCAATTATTCCCTTGGAATCTGTCTGCTGGGCTTTCTAACGCGTTTTACCTATCGTCGCTTATGACATCGCCGGCCGAATCTTGCGCGGTGCGTTCTTCAGAAGTGTGTTTCGTTGGCGCGCGTTGAACTTCGCCAAATTCGTGGGAGCTTTGGAAATTTCTGCGGAGAGAAAGAAGGAAACTGCGAAACGGTCGTTTTCTAGAGAGAAAGGATGCGTTTGGGGAGTTGATCAAGGAAGAAGACATCTTTTCGAGAGGGGTTAGGAGGTTGAATGCTTGCTTGATGAACTGGAGACTCTAATTTATGGAATTTCTTTCTAATTTTCTAAATTTAACAATTTCATGTTTCTAGATTTTCTCTGTGACATTCTGTATTTAAGTACAGTTCTTGCAATTCGCTCACTCTTAACCGGTAACGTGAAATTTTCATGCATAAACGATCATGCTTGTTAAGACAAACGTCTTCGTGAGACTGATATTTTTGGGAATGGATAGAAACACGAAATTCTCGCAAACTTTTTTCGAACTCTAGAATATGAACTTAAACATTTGTAGGAATATTATTTACGATGTCTCTGCTTTTTGACAGGAATGTAGTTTTATTTCTGAACACCCTTGGTCTTTCATATTCGCTCTGACGATCCTTTTTCCTCACTTCGCTATTGTCCTTCATAGTCACTTGCACACGCTGGATCGCAGATTTTTGGTCATTGCATCGCTCTTATCACGCATGAATTTTCATTCAGAAGAACTGTCCTCGGTCCGGACATTCTTATCACATCCTGCACATTTATTTTTTGCATTGGTATCTAACAGATTAAAATTAGAAAAGGAAACGTAGGAAAATATGAACGTAGTTACGTAGAACGTAGAAATGATAAAAAGATGGAATTCTTGGACAGAAAAATAACGCAGCAACGCGATGTCGTACGCAATGGTAATGGCACAATAGGACTCTGGGTATACGCATTAAGCCTCTCTCTGGTCGAGGTTACAATACTCGAAACACACGAGATTCGTGGTAATTGAAATCCATTGTTTGCTTGGTTTTTCAGGTGATGCAACAACAGCAGCACATGGCCGGAGGAATGGGTGGCGTGAGACCACCGCCTCCCGAATACAAAGCGGCTCAGGCCCAAATGATGCACGCCGGTATAGGCATGGGTCAACAGGCAAGGTTTCCCAATACAGGGCCTATGCGTAGGGTGACACAACAACCTATGCCACCTTCAGGTGAGTACGCAATTTTCACACTAGGTCTGCTTAACCCCTTTGTCTTGTAACGACTAGTCGGACTAGTGGCAGAGATTTTTGGCGAAGGTGCGATAAGAACAGCCGTATCAGTTAGAAAAATTAAGTTTAATTCTGTAATAATTTTTTCGATTTAATTTGTCAAACTGAGGATTCGCAGATTTAATTCTAATTTTTGGGTTTAATTTGTGAAACTGTGAAGATTAGCAATTTTAATTACAATTTTCGATTTAATTTGTCAAACTGAAGATTAGCAAATTTAATTCTAATTTTTGGGTTTAATTTGTGAAACTGAAGATTAGCAATTTTAAATGTTAATTTCTGGGTTTAATTTGTCAAACTGAAGATTAGCAATTTTAATTCTAATTTTTGGGTTTAATTTGTGAAACTGAAGATTAGCAAATTTAATTCTAATTTTTGGGTTTAATTTGTGAAACTGAAGATTAGCAATTTTAATTACAATTTTCGATTTAATTTGTCAACCTGAAGACTAGCAAATTTAATTCTAATTTTTGGGTTTAATTTGTGAAACTGAAGATTAGCAATTTTATTTCTAATTTTTGGGTTTAATTTGTGAAACTGAAGATTAGCAATTTTAATTACAATTTTCGATTTAATTTGTCAAACTGAAGACTAGCAATTTTAATTCTAATTTTTGGGTTTAATTTGTCAAACTGAAGATTAGCAATTTTAATTCTAATTTTTTGGTTTAATTTGTGAAACTGAAGATTAGCAAATTTAATTCTAATTTTTTGGATTTAATTTGCCAAACTGAAGATTGGCAAATTGAATTAATCTATGATACAGTAGCTGTTCTTTCTTAATATAGTACTGAAACAAAAATCGTACGTGGAGGGGTTAACCCTTTAATTAGAAAGCTCTCCACTCAGTTCGACATCGATTTTTCTGCAATGCCGATGATTGCAGCGCGTGGTTAAAATCAGAAACGCAAATACATTTTACGTGTGAAAAAATGTTTACTTGCAACAATCGAAACAAATAGTGATATTCAGTTATTTCAACAGTTTCTATGCAGGATGTGACAATATGTCCAATTTGTAACAACACGTCATTGTAGTGTAACGATGCGTGTGTTATGTTTGGCGAAAATTGCTCGGCATATAGCGGGTGGTCCAAAGTGTACATTTTCGTTCGTCTCAGAAACTCAGAGTTTAATTATCAATCAAGACTTGAATTGCAAAAAAAAATTATTCTGTAAAGGAATGGGAAACTTTTCTTTAAATTTTCTGTCTATAGCTTGTCTGCGATCGATCAGAAAATCGAACGAAAGATTAGAAATTCGTATACACTTTCACAGAAATTTAATTATCAGTCAAGACTTAATTTAAAAAAAAAAAATACTCAATCATTCTGTTCAACAAAGGGAATAAAAATTCACAAAATTTTCCGTCTACAGTTTGTCCAGGATCAATTAAAGAATCGGACGGTAGATCAGAAATTTGTAAAGACTTTCGTATCGAGACTTAATTAAAAAAAGAAACCGAATTCTGTAAAAAGAGGGAATGAAAATTCACAAAATTTTCTTTAAATTTTCTGTCTATAGCTTGTCTGCGATCGATCAGAAATTCGTATAGATCCGCAAGACTTAGAGGGAGAAAGGTTCTCAAACACGTCGATTACACGTACTTACGTTACGAAAAAGAAAAGAAAAGAAGGGGAAAAAACGCGAGACCAAGTATGTGTAAGTTGGTAAAAGCGGAAATCAACCGCGACTACGTGATCTGCTGGATGTTTCGCTTTTTTACGCTGAAAGTGGCGACGGTACGTCACTTTCATATGCACTGGCCGGAGTCGGAAGGCACTCTGCGTAATGAGAAGCCGGCCGGTGCTATCGATTCTTTCATCTTTCGCCGGAACGACGAATGCTCTTTTCAACCTACTCGATGAAGGTTTTGATTTCCCTCGCTGATTTTCTCTCCGCCTCCTCTTTATCGGCCTGATAACCTGATAATCGTTAAATGGCGTTTAGAAATGCTCGAGATCTATATAGATAGGTCTCGTGTGAACGGATTCTAAGCAAACTACTCTGAGCAAATAGTAATCGTTCGATTGCTTCTGTAAAGTTTAAGCACACACACCTAATGATTTTTTACAGATCAGTTTGATATTCTGTTGAAACAGTCTTTGTTTACCAAAGTTGGTGCATTGAGTTTCCTTCTTTCTTTTTGTTATAAAATTTTTATTTCTTAACGTTCGTGGTATTATAATAATTATTCTCGTCATTGCAAGAATTTGTGAAATTCTATTTGATAATTCGTGGAAAGGTGGAATTTTTTTTATAACAAAATATTCCTCGTTTTCTCATTTTTTAATAAGAAGGTGTTCTACATTTTGACATTTTTTTATGACAAAATATTCTTTCTTTTGACATTTCCTAATAACAAAATATTCTTCATTTTCTCTAATAAAAAACTATTCTTGATTTTCACACTCTTCAATAACAAAATATTCTTCATTCTTATATACTTTAATAACAAAATATTCTTCATTTTCTCAGTTTTTAATAAGAAAATATTCTTCATTTTTACATACTTTAATAACAAAATATTCTTCATTTTCGTATTCTCTGATAACAAAATGTTCTTCGTTTTCACACTCTCCAATAACAAACTATTCATCACTTTCACATCGCGAAACAATTAAAAAATGTTCGGCAAGAAGTACAACTCACAAAAATTCCTTACTTCTCGCACAGGAAAACCTCACAATCCACCCTTGTTCGACAGATCTCACAGCGACACTCTAACAAGCAAGAGCAAACGACAGAGAAAAGCATGGAAAGTACTTATTCACGACCATGCAACAAACCCGTAAGAAAAATATTTCTCCGTTCGATATGTTTTCCTAGCAACTAATCCCGATTGCCGGATTATCCCGATTACACACAGAGATAGACAAATCGAATCGGACAGACGTAAAGAGTAAACGGTGAATAATCGTGGAAAAATATTTGACTGGACGCGGAAAATTTCCATTCGAACAATGTTTACACACTTCTTAACCATCGGTTAGACAAGTATTCGAGGGAAATGAACCCAATCTCTCGCTGGATCCATTCCAGACCAGAAAGAAAGGACTCTGCGAACGGGGTAGAAAGAGAGAGAGAGTGGAGGGGTGTCGTAAATATTCTTATACACCGTAGTCCGTACGAGGCTCCTATCGATCTGCTCGGAGCTACTTTCGTAAGATTTTATCCAAACGAAAATCCACAGAGCATTAAGGCGCTACGTTTCTCTTAGCAATACGTATCCGACTGGCCAGGATGAAGAGACGTTTCCAACGCGATCGATGACTATCCTCTTCGTTTCAATCGCCTCTTCCAGTTGTCGTCTCGGAATCTTCGAGATTTGTCGAGCGGGAATTTTGAGAATCTTTTGTTTTCGTTTAGTGTGGAAGAGAAATATGGAGGGTTTTTAATTTTGTATTATGGATTTTCGATAGATAATGCGGTGAATCGGTGTACCGTGGTTATACAACGATGATAAAAACAAAGTGAGAGTAACTCTCTAGACTGTGAAGCTTAATGTAAACAGCAACGTGTTACATAGTCGTTCAACAGAGCTAATCCTTGGTTATCCAATTTACATGAGAGAGAGACTGTCTTCATGTTTTGTATTTAGTAATAGAGTTAAGTGTTTACGGTAGGAGAACAGCGATTCTGATTTGTTTAGCAATGATTGAAGACAGTAGGGCGAAGTATTGAACTAATATGTGAGGAATAATTGTAAAATCGTGTCGAGAAAGTGGACACTATTCCTGTTTAGAAATGTGAAAAGAAAATTCCTTTGGGATTTTTGAAAATAACTGGTATATCACATATTCGTCAAAGATAATTTTTAGACCTACTCATTTTTGTAGTATTGTAAGTGTTGTGATGTATTTAACCCTTTCGCTTTGGTGGAGTTAGCCGGTGATACGTATGTGACCACTGAACGGGACAGCGAGTCGCGAGCATTCGTAGATAGAGTTCGTACCGATATATTCGTGAGGGACCTCTATAGGGGTCTATAGTACGCTACGATATATTCGCGAGGGACCTCTATACGAGCCTATAGTACGCACCGATATATTCGCAAGAGACCGCTATAGTGGCGTCCCGATATATTCGCGAGAGACTACTGTAGTGGCGTTCCGATATATTCGCGAAAGACCGCTATAGTGGCGTTCCGATTCATTCGCGAGAGACTATTATAGTGGCGTTTCGATATATGCGCGAGAGTCCACTATAGTAGCGTTCCGATTCATTCGCGGAAGACCATTATAGTGACCTATAGCACGCACCGATATATTCGCGAGACAATACTGTTGGGGCCTATAGCACGCGCCGATATATTCGCGAAAGTCCACTATAGTAGCGTTCCGATTCATTCGCGGAAGACCACTATAGTGGCCTATAGCACGCACCGATATATTCGCGAGACACCACTGTAGGGGCCTATAGCACGCGCCGATATATTCTCGAGAGTCCACTATAGTACCTGTCCGATATATTCGCGATAGACCACTCTAGTAACGTTATATACATTCGTATACATTCGCGGAAGACCATTATAATGTTCTCAACTACCCTGACCTTTCCTAATCGATACATTCGCGACAGACTATAGCAGCCTTTCCTACACACAAATTCCCATCTCCTCATCGACCACTACAACAGCGTTCACAGCGAAAGGGTTAAAACCAGCTACAGGTAGCAACTTCAATAAATTTCACTAACAATCCAATCCATTTCTGTCCCGTTTCCGACGTAGGTCCAATGATGAGGCCGCAAATGGCGCAACAGCAACAACAGGCGTTACATGCGGCCGGTGGCAACATGTACATGGGTGGCGGCGGTATGGCCGCGATCGGCGGCATGCATCAGATGCATCAGCGCCTCGGATATCCTAGGACTAATAATCAACGGCCGCCTAACGTCAGCGTCGGCCCGCCTGACGGCCTTGGGAATAGCATCGCGGGCCGCGGCGCCCAGCAGGAGTGGCGACACGTTCTCATGCAGCAACAGGGCTTTCAGGCGCAGATGCGATCGCAATTCAACCAGCAAGGTCACCAAGGTAAGCATTCTCTCTCTCCTCCATCTCTCTATACGTACACTTCCACTGGTATCACGCGAGTGTAATACCGTACTCGAGGTAATTCGCGCGCGACTTCCAAGCGATATCGAATTAGCGGTGAACACTTTTTGCTCACTTAACCACGCCGCCACGCTGCGCCTAGGTCTGACGTTGTGTTCGAGCGGTTTTTGATTATCCTCCGTTTCAAGAATTAATTTTCTTGCCGAGGGGAAAATGGAATATCGAGGGACGGTGTAAAATTCTGATAGCCCTGGTTATACCAGGGTTAACGTTAAACGTGCAATTCCAATTGGACTTCACGGTACCTTATTTTTAATTCCTTCTTCGTTTCTTATTTGTCAATTTACTGGAACTTTTATGCACGTGTAACTAACGCCCCGGGGATTAATATCAATTTACGTCCATTTGGTAGATTTGAATAAAAAATTCTGACCGCTGACATCACTACAGGCGTCACGCGAATTTCAGCGGCTGGGGGGGGGGGGTTAATTTTTGACAGAAATTGCCGCCTCCCTGATAAAACTTACTCTCAAAAATAGCAAATGGTCATAGCGTTAAAATCTCCAACATTTTTCCCAAAATTTCTCACGTAGCTCTCAAACTTTTCATATTGCATCCGCTCGATAATTTTTATATCTATCACCGACACACCTGACATTTGCCGCGTTATACCATAATATACGTCACACTGTACTCGCTCGTCTGATTATTACAGCGCAACGATTCGAATTCGAATTCTATCTCGCTTGCAGTCGCTCGATCAATTATCACGTTTCGGTAACGAGTAAAGGGTGGTTAGCATAGACGACTAAATCGCGTTAAATCGTTTCACTTACGTTGATTTTCCAGGTGGATTCGGTATGGGTGGCACGGGCGGTATGCAGATGAACGCCGCGCAGATGCAGCATCAACAGTTGATTCGCACGCAGAGCGGAGGGATTGCTGGCTCCGGTATGGGCAACAGCACTCAGATGCAGCAGCTACTGTCGCAGCAACACCAGCAACAGACATTAGCCATGCAGCAGAGTAATAATCAGATGTCACTGCAGATGCAAATGTCGCAGTCCTCATCAGTCAACTCTGTCAGCAGTACCGGAACCGGTGAGTCTTGGACGATGGTCATTCACTGATTTTCCATCACGGGGAGAGAGAATAACGATCCGGTGATTTCCTGTTTAAAGGAGAGAAATTCGTTCGATTTACCGATAGATTAATCGTTATAGGCGTGAATTGTTATTATGGTTGCGTTTGCTAACGGCAGATTTGAGATTCTAACGATAAGCTGTGTTATCAACGTGATTATTATTGATCTATTGTCGATTTCTAATTGGTTTAAGAAGATTAACGAAGAGTGTTGTTTAATGAAGTTTTTAAGAGTTTTTAAGATAGTTGGTAGATATTATTGCATCGGTATGTTGTGATACTAGTTTCGAGAAACGTTTATTTTCCTTCGTTAAGATTAATTTAACAATGCATTGATATATTTTGTTGTAATTGTTAACTGCGTATTTAATTTGTTCACTCTCGTGTCATTAACCCTTTACCCAGCTGAAGATTGTAATTGCTCAATAAAGTTAATAAAGTTCTTCTTATCACATTCATTGAAAGTCCATCGAACGATTTTTCAAGTAGTACGAACTACGTATATTGAACACAATCTTATTTGCGCCAGTACCGATCCTGCATTTTTTTTAAAGACACTCGAATCTCTTTTACTACTCTCCACTTCCATTCGCATGAAACCTCTGTCAACTGCATCCTCTTACAACGAAGATATTCTTACTCAAAAATCACACTTCTGAAAATTGACCCTTTCGCAAATTCTACAATTATCACGGTTCATCTTACGCGAAACAGTTCAGTTCAAATAATTTCAACAGTTTGTCATTAAATAACTAAAAATTAAACTTTCTGCATTTCTCACCGGTGAAAGAAAAATCGGGTCTTTGCAGTTTATCCACCAAAGGACAAGATAAATAAAAATTAAATTTCCAACGGACCACGAAATTTGAAAATTCGTTTATTCACCAGCAATTTCCTAAATAAATAGATAGATAAATATTCAATTTTCTGTATTTCTTTCCAACAGAACACAAAAGCACGAATTTTCGAAAAATCGTGTCTTCACAGTTTGCCCACCAGAAACCCAAATAAATAAAAATGAAATTTCCAACGAACCACGAAATTCTCCAAATCGTTCGTTCCCCGGTAATTTCCCAAATAAACAAACAAATACTGAATTTTCCGTATTTCTCTGGAACGCGCGAAAAAAGAAAGCACGAATGTTCCAAAATGATTTTCCACGAAACCGAAATTTCGCGAAAAATCATCGCACTGCTACTCGCGTCGCTCGTTCCTTAATTACACCGTGAAAGGGTTAATTGTTCCCGCTGATCATCTCTGTTTCTCTCTGTTCATCCCGCGTCACGCATCACCACGAAATCCTTTCGTCGTTATCAATCACATTGTCCAATTCCTTCCAGGTTCCCCTCTGCACCCGCACCAACAGTACGGCGCCGGAAGTCCGGGTGTGCGCAGCCTGCCGCAGCAGCAACAGCAACACGCGCAACCACCGGCCACCACTACGGACCCATCCGTAGCCGCGGCTGACTTTAGCCTCGAATTTCTGGAGAACCTGCCGACCGGAGACACGTCGAACTTCAGCGCTCAGGAGTTGCTGAATTCCCTCGACTCCACGGCGGGCTTCAACCTCGATATTCTGTAAGACCACGCCTATCGCGGTCTATTCGGAAAATCGGATTTTAACACACTCGATGACCGGTTTAAACGGAACCAACCAAACGTAAACATTCTGAGAACGATGCTGCAGAAAGAGAGACACTAGGATCGATCACCCCCGTAACGAAAGAAAGAAAGGAAAAGCTACGTTCGCAAGCGGAGAATAGTCCACGCTTGGTACCATCGCGCGCAGCTTCCTTCGTCGCGTGCTGCGTCGATGACGATCGTCTAAACAGTTCCTCGAGATCGATGAATTTGAACGGTTGGTAATCGCCGCGTCGAAAATAGATGGAATTTGAAAAAAAAAAAAAAAATGACGAGAATAGAAGTGTTCGTGGTATTCGTGTCGTTCGTTAGGAACTATAGTGAACGTCGAGTTAAACAATGGAAAGTGTTCAAATGACAAAGAGCGTAACGAGGAGGATTACGATTCCTCGGAGTATACACGTCCTCTTACGATCCTCCGCGATCGTGTTCATCGATTGATCTATGTCCTCAGACGAGAGGGGTGTTTGATCCAGTCGAACCGGAAGTGACGAATCGGCACCGATTATGTATATGATATAGCGCGTATAAATAGTAATAAAGAAAAAGAGAATTCCTCGAGCTGTTCGGTAAATTCGTGTTCGAAGAGACGTAATCGAGAATGACTCGAACGTAGAGGAATCGATCCCCATCCGGTTCGACGTCGCGGGATAGCAGAAAACCGGTCGTAGTGCATCATCGGCAGCTACTCTTCAGCTGGCGACTATTCTTCTAGGCAATCACGTTTTAGGAAAATTTAATTTCTTAATGGTTAACGATCGACGAAGCAGCAGAACATTAAGAGAAAATGGGAGAAGATCGATCGAGATAGAGAGCAAAAGTTGGACCGGAAGATCGATCGCGTGAGAGATCTAGAGACTCTCGATATGTATGTCAAATTCAAATCATTCGAAGATCAAAGTTTTCTATTACAAAATATCGAAGAAAAAAGAGACGTCGATAATATCATTCGTTCTTGATGTTTAAAAATTGTATCGATCGTTTCGAACGAAGAGGATCACAATCGTTCTTCTTTCGAGTGCACACGTCGACGACACTTTCTTACCTGACTTGGACGCGCACTTCGTCGAGAACGATCGAGATAAAGAAAGGTTTCTCTTGATCTCTCACGCGACGATTCGCGATCGAACGGGAACCTCGGACAATTAAAAATTCATCGAGGTTCCACGAGTGTCTTTCTCGAGGCTCGATCGCGCGCGTCGTCCGAAAGTTAAGAAAATTTAGCTCGTTTCATCTCTCGATCGAACGAAAAGAACCATTCTACACGTTCTATCCTCGAGCTTTGGATATCGTTCTCACGGCTCGTTCGGGACGTTAGAAAATGATCACGATCACGGCTAGATACACGTAGCGTATTTAACGATGCCGCGAACCGATCGCGTCGTATTCTACAATTAACAGAAAGTCAATTATGAGATATATTATTCCCGATGAATTTCGTTCGTCGTGGCCTGGCGATAGTTCCAGGCCGGTGTGATTCCGGCCTGATCGATCGGCCACGTCTACGTAGGGTTCGCGTGGTGTTTGACTATTGAGGAGAGAGAAAGGGATAGATAGAACGAGTACGAACGAGTGAGAGATAGGAAGGAAGAGAGCGAGAGAGAGAGAGAGTGAGGAAACCCTTCCTAAGAACCGCGGTGTTAGTGTTGCTACGGGATAAATTAAAATCTTGACTGTACATAGGTATACACGTTGAAATGCACACACAGCTACACACACAAGCATACACAGGTACACTTGAACACGAGTTAGAAGGAAAATTCAGGAGGATAAGAGTTCGCAAAGTTTAGCCGATTAAAGTTAAGAACCCTATGATATAGGTGAATATTATAAATATATATATAAATAAATATAATGATAATAGTAATCGATGATGATTATATGCGTGTGAATGGAAGGTGAATGTGGGGGAGAGAAAGGGAGAAATTTTCGAAGAAGATGGAAGAGAGAGAGAGAGAGTTAGCGAGAGATTGAGTAAAAGAAGAAAGGGTAGTTTAGAGTGAATGAGTGGAGAGAATGTGAGATGAGTGTGTTTTTTGCGCGGCGATAAAGCACATTTCCTCGACGCGAGCGTATTTATTGAGTTTTAGTTTCCGCTGAATGTGCTGTGTCGCCGATAATTCGACAGAGGGTTGCACACGAGAAATAATCACGGTCAGCTGCGGACATCGCTCGCTGGTACGGTGAATCGGCGGCCGCTTTTACCTCTTACCGCCGGTTCTCTTCGACTCGCGCGTCCTATTCTTCGAAACGTAGATAGACAATTGCGTTGTTAAATGAAAATCAGGTGTGAAAGAGAGAGAGAGAGAGAGAGAGGGGGAATAAAAAGGATGGAATTCAAAGTTGTTCGTTCGACGATGGAATATGGTTCGTATAACGTTAATCATGGCTACAGTTCATCGTTACCAGACGGGCGGATCCGCGACTAATCTTCCAAATAGTGATACATTCCATAGATAAAGAAAATGGAGTAGGAATCCACGGTTCGTCTAATCAAAACTATCGTTTCTAAATGTGAAAGAAAGAGAGAGAGAGAGAGAGAGAGAATGGTCGGAATAGGATTAAAAAAAAAAAATGGAAACACGAAAAATTAACGAGGAAGAGAGATCGATAAAAGGTAGGCACACGCGAGAATGAACACCGAGTGTTCGCAAGAGACACCCGGTAGAGAAGCGATGAACAAAACGCAGAAGCAAGAATGATAAATGGAAAATAAAACTACCAAGTATCCTCGACCGTTCGCCGAAATGTGTGCACGAATACTTTTTTTCCGATCAGAATTTCGCCCGTCACTCCGTTATGTTCGCGCTCGAATAAGTGGGATGGAGGGAATGGGAGGGGGGATTTCGCGCGTGGTGCGAAAATTAGAAGAGACAAAAAGAAATACAGAAGAAAGGGTACGAATCGTTTTTTAACCCCTTCGAATCGGGCGGAGCGACGTTATTATTGTCTTGTAAAATATTGGGGCCACGAAACATAATCTAAAGAAACGAAAAAACGACATAAAAGAATAAAAAGCGAAAAAAAAGAAAAAAAATAAAGAAGAAAGAACAAATGAAACGAAGAAAGAGTAATTAAAATACAAATGTAAGGGGAACGAAGGAGAACAGGTGCTCTCTGATTGTGTCACGTCGATTTAACGAGAACGTATGATGTAAACCGAGAGAATCACGAACAGCATTGATGACGAATTCGATACGTGATGAAATTTAAAAGAAGTCGCCGCCGGTGGGTTGTTACGTTCTCTTTTCTTTTTTTCTTTTTGTTTCCACGATTCTTAGTGGAAGAGGTGGTACACGACGTTAGATAATACCGTACGTTTTCTTTTTTCGTGAACGAACGAAAGCGAGAGAGGGAGAGAATGAGCGAGATTGAGAGATTTAGGTAGATCGGGAGACACGAGGTACAAGAAAAGGGGGGTGAAGAATTTGTTGTAGGGATAAAAAGAGAGAGAGAGAAAGAGAGCGAAAGTGTGAGAATGAAAGAGAGAGAGAGAGAGCATTAGGGACCAACCAAAAAAAAAAAAAAATTAGAGCAAAGAAGCGTACGCTAGTGTCGATTGTCGCGGTGGATCGTTCTTCCCTTTTTTATATATCGCACGTCGAAATGGAACAGAGAACACTGGAGAAAGTGAAACAGTAGTGCCTCGAGTTGTTTCGCGATCGATCACCGAACCAACACCTTCAAATTCGATCACAATTTCACACACGAAACGTGAATCACGTGTTTTCCTAATCCTCCCCAGTTTTGAGAAAGAAAAATAGGTAAAAAGGATTGTAACGATCGGTACACGACGTCCGGTGACGGGATCTGTCGTGCCGTTTTTCCTCTTACACTGTTTGACAGTCGATGTTGGTTAGGGCGACGTTCGACCGAAGAAGAGGAAAAAAAGGAACTGAAATGGCTCCCCGGGTTTGTAATTTTCAGTTCGTCGAGGAGTTTCGAGCCGGACAAAAACTCTACACCTAATTATTTATAATATTTATAACTTTATATGATACACGGGCATTTCGCATAGAATAAAGTTCATGTTGAATCTCGAACTGTTATTAATAAAAAGCGTTGAGTTCCTACAGTCGTTTCATTACTTCGTATTTGGAATAATATCGTCTCTCATCTTGCGACGGTGTCGAGTCGACAAATTTCCATATCAATTCTCCATTCTCCAATGTTAAAAATAATGACCAAAGATTAGAAGGAGTGAAAAAGTAGTCGTGCATCTCGATGAAATTTCGTTTCAATTTGCGTTTACGATAAACAAACAACGCGCCATAAAACGTCGAATCGGCCAGGACCCCATCGTTCACCGGCTACCATAACTTCGCTAATTGTCGGCTCGTGTGAAGTTCGCGACAAATCGCTCGTTTACAAGCCAAAAAAGTAATCGAAACACGGTTCCCACGTGTGGGGTAGATGAGAACGGGTGGTGTAATTTTACATAGGGTGATTCTTCGTAAAAAAATCTATCGAAAATGTAAACAAAGTTTGTTTATACGATGCTCCGTTTTTGAGAAAATTAACTTTGAAATGTTGTGGGGTTGCGTGCTGAAATTACGCCAATACTGGCTAATATTAACAAACCAGATTCGTAACAGTACCAATATCGACAGACGCACAAATATAAGCCGAAGTACTATTTTTATAGCAAGATCGAGAAGCGTGCAACCCCACAAATTTTCAAACTAAATTTTCTCGAAAACTAAAGCTCGTAGGAAAAAACTTCTTCCCACACTTTCGATCCATTTTTACACGTAGAATCGTCCTATACAGATTGTTCCATAATTTACGAACATAATTTCAATAGTGGATTCAGCACATAAAAATACAAAACAGAATTTACATAAACATATGTCCAATATGACCTTATTTTCTTTGTCTTCGCAGAAATTGTTCGAAGTGAGCACCTTTTGAACGTCTTATCGTAGACCTCCTCACCTGTTCAAAATTGCCAGGTGTTACGTTATCGGAGTACCCTAACGTTACCAACCTGGTGTGTTCTAAGCCAAAGACTTCAGATATCCCACAAATAGAAATCCACAGGACGTAACTCCTGTGATCAAAGTGGCCAAA